GAAAACTAAGGGGTTATTTGACGAAACTTTTGACAAAGGTTTTAGCAGATTTTTTGATCAAAGTGTGAAATGTGTGATTAAAAAGTTGATAAATGTTGTGAGTCCCATGAAATATGTGCTTGAAATTGAAGTTTCAGAACTGTTGAATTTCACTGACAAGCTACTGCTGACACAAATTAACAACAATGGTTAGTGATTATGTTTCAATTTCAGAAAAATTTCAAGGATGGATATTAAATTGCTAATGAAGATATTACTGAAAATGGAGGAAATCTTGCGTGATAACTAAAGATCATTTCTATTTGTCAGTTGACCAATTGTCATACCAGTGTCTTAAGTTTCTGGATGGGCGTTGCTAAAACGTTGTGTTTATATAATGCCTGAAAGGGTTGCTATGCTACTGATTAACCGTGACAGCTCTGAATAATTGTTTTCTATATATTGTATATATCCTCATATGCTAGGACTGTGAATCTCTCAGAATTTTAAATAATATTGTTCTTTTCACTGGCGGATTTAGGCTATGCCAGCCCCAGCCCATTTCAATTTTTGTTGGGTAATTTTGATTTGATTTTATTTTTTAGCCCAGCTTAATTTTTTTTTTTTTTTTTGTTTAGTCTGGTCCTGGATCTGCCCCTAGTTCTTTGTGTTTTAATTACCATAAATTCGAACATATTTAGTTGGAGTTGGTTTTTTAACGTGTTCTAGTATTATAATTAGCTGGGATATTAGTTATTCTCTCAGCTCATTAGTTGTGATGGTATGTTACCGCAAATAATTTTCCCCAATAAAGGTACGTATCTCAATTATGGAAAAATGAAAATCTTCACCTGTCTCTTTCTGTTTTCCCATTTAACATTTGGTGTAGTCTATGGATTTTCTGAAAACGTGAAGATTCCATTCACGTCATATATTGTTGCAACAGGAGAACAGAAAAAGCGCAATAAGTTAACATCACACAACTTACCACATCAAGGTAACAAATCATTCATCGTATTTATCTTTCTCCATCTTGTGAATTTCAGATTTTAGTCGTGTGCATCATTGTGATTTGAAAGGAAAACGGTAAAATATATTCATTGTCAACTATCCAAACTTTCAGCTTATTGATTGTTATCACCAACTCATCAAACATACAACTTCATTGGCAACTATGGCTGATATGGATGTGTATATATGTGATCAAGTTTGCTGTTATGGATATGGACTCGATCCATTCCATATGCTGAAATGTGTCTTCTCCCCACTCCGAGCTGCTACTTTGCTTCCTAATAGATTGGCTGAAGACAAGCAACTAGTTTGAACTTTGTCGTTTCCCGCTCGACATTATCAGCCCCTCTATCCTGTGGCCAAATATCGAGCTGGAGGAGACATCATCATCAAACTCTAATGCTATAGATGATTTTTTGGGTTTCAAAATTCTGGAGCAGCCTCGAGCTTCGAGGTAAAATGAAGCTTTTTAGGTTTGTGAGGTGGGTTTTTGTTGTATTGCAGTTTTTCCTACTAGGTTTGTGAGCTGGAGGAGACATCATCATCAAACTCCAAGTTTTGGACTAGTGACAAAGTGCTACTCAACTACTTTCAACTGTTGTATCTTGAGAGACAGACGCCATCAATCCTCCTCTTGCACCACAGTGAAAAGCGAATTTGTTTTAAGAAAACTGTGTGCAATACAGTTCTCAATTCCTTTCAACATCGTCTCTACATCAACAATTAGACTTCTTCTATTTTATTGTTACTCTGTTTATTGTATTGTTTATTTCCATCATTTTATAATTTCAGCAATATTTCTAAACCTATTATAGTGGATAATGTGTATTCAAAAGATTGTCTGGTGCTTTTCTTCCTAAACCTACAATAAATGAAAACACAATAATTTAGTGTAGCACCTTTGAAATGATCTTGTTCAACTACTCAATAAGATTAGTTATAATACGATTAAAAACATGGATAATAAAGTCTTTGAGGTTATGTCACGAAAAAACTCTTTTGGCATGTTTAGTGAGGTGAATTAGATAATATCAGACAATATTAAGGTAATGCATGTAGACTCCATGAAAATTACAGCATATCTTGGTTAAATCATAAACAAGTTGGCAAGATATTGTTACTCAAACATACGGTGTTCCCTTTATTACATCATGTATGTAAACTGACAATCTTCAACAGTGATTTAGATTCAGGACTTGGAGAGGAATTGGGAGTGAGATTTGAATTTGGCATAGCTCAAATCCAACTACTTGTTCATTCTAGATGTTACTATTTGGATTCACAAAATAAAATGTAACAATTAATAACTACTCTACATCACAAAAATGTAACGAGTAAAATATACTTGAATTCGCTCGTACAAGTGACTTTATCATCCAAGTGTCACACGAAATGCACAAAGCTCACCCCAAATAAGTAGTCTAGTACATTGACAGAACAACCACAAATGTAGATTTCGGCGTCTAGAATTCAACTTGGTCTGTGGAAACAAAGACTAACTCCCATTTATGGCAACTACTAGAATTCAGTAGATAGAGTCTGAATATGGCTAAACTTTATATCCTTCGGTCATATTTGTTCAAGAAGATAGAATACATGTCCTCAAATAAAGGCATTTCACAGGGATAATAGTGAACAGAAAGCTCAATTGACTACTC